GTTGCCATTGTAATCTGCATAAATCCCCGTTAAAGCTGTTGCAACACGCGACAAGCAGCTGCCAGCAGACATTGTCCCACTCTGGGCTGGTGTTACGCTGCCATCAAGCGGCTGTCTGTCACGGTAAATATATCAGCAAACTGACAAACCCACCAAAAGAAAAAAAAAGAAAAAAAACGAGAAGAAAAAGAAATAGCTGAAAATAGTAGAAGATATTGTTGCTTTTACAGCCAAACTATTGAGGAAAGACTCTGCCCCTCCTCCAGCTGCCACCTTCACTCACCTGAGCGCTGCCTCTCGACTCTCGAGTCTCGTCTCTCGTCTCTCGTCTCTGACTGAGTGCTTGGCTGAGTGCATGTGAATTGACAGCTGTAAGTACTCGACTACTCGAGCGAGTTGTCGGCTTCACAATGAGAGTTTGTATTTATTTGTGCTAACATTGAATATTTGATCTTTGATGTGCACAGATTGAAAGCAAAATCGTCTATAAATATTTATGCACTGAATGCGTGTTTGGGCATCAGGTAGGAGCAAAATACACGGAAAAGCCAGAAACTTAAAGGCCACAGCTTAAGCTTAAGCAGCGAGCGATGATTCGAGCTGGTTTAGTAAAGAAAATTATAGTAAATTTAGAATGTTATAGACAGATAAATAAATTGCAAATGTATTAAATATTTAAGAGAGACAGAAGTGAACTTTGCATAAATATTTATTGAGTAAGAAGAGTAAAAAAAATATCTATATATTTATAGTATTATTATAATTGCTTATAGCTAAGCATAGGCAGTTCTGCCTTTATTACATCGAATAACAAAATGTTTGCAAATTAATTCTTATGCAAATACATAGTTAATCTCTGCCAACTTTGGGTACAATATTATCTTTATCTTTATTTTTATCAGTTATTCATTTTGTTTTTCCCCCTAACGCCACTCAAACATTATTTGTTTACTATTATTTATTAATATTTATTGCAAGTGCTCAACTCAAACATTCGAATTGACACAGACGAACAACCAAAGTCTATTTATCCAGTTTCAATGAGCTTAGGGCTTAAAAACATTTGCTGTTTCAATGAGAATTTTTGCATTGCTTTTGCTCTATCAAAATTTGCCATTGATTTTATTTTTTGCCTGGGCAATTGAAACGATTTGCTGGCCCTTGGTGAAATTTGTTTAAAATGCCTGATAAAATCGTTTTCAAATAAATATTTGACTAAACTGCTAAATGGCTTTGGATTTAATAAACAGCTGCAAATGCTGCATATGCAACGCTCTTTATAAAAATTTAATTAACTAGTTTCTAATTGTCTACGAAATGGAAATTGTCTGCAAATTGTGAAATTGTGCATTTTCAACCTGGCGGAGTGAGCTCACAAGTGCAAAAGTTGAAGCAAGGCAATAGGAAGTATATAAACATGCAAATACACTCACACACAGACACACTCACACACACACACGCGCACAGAGACTCTAAGGGCAGCTGCTTGGCCTCTGGAAAACGGCAACAAAATATTTACCATGACTTGAGAGTCTTTGCCCCGGGGCCGAAAAGCAGAGTGCAAAGTGTGTATAAATAAATCAAAGTTTATTTTGTGACAGATACTTTGTGAAGCCACTGTATGCGTGCGTGTGTGTGTGTGTGTGTGTGTGTGTTGTCAATGGCATAGAGAGCGGCACTATGCAGTGCAAATTTCCGCAAGCCAAATGAGAAAAATGAGCTTTGTATTCGAGCTGCATGCGCAAAGCAAAGAGATGGAGGGGGGAACGGGGCTAGGAAATATTATGAATGCGCAATCATATGGCCGACAGGGCCACAGGATAACAGCCTGCCAGCAACAACAACAACAACAACAACAACAGTTCAGGTGACAAACATACACACACACACACACACACATTGAACTACAGACAAGGCCGCCTCACAATGCAAGTTGCCAGCGGATATGAAAAACTATTTTACAGCTGCTTTTGTGGCCACCTCCATTTGTCTATGTCTGTGTGCGCGTGTGTGTGTGTGTATGTTTGACTTTTCACATGAGTACACGAATACTTCGCTCTCTCCCTTTCTATCTCTCCCTCTCCCTCTCTCTCTCTCTCTCTCTCTCTCTCTCTCTCTCTCTCTCTGTGTGCATATTGTATATATGCCCAATGGAACCATTTAATGCTCCCTGACTTTGCCTTTTAGAGGCGCCATTCAGCAAAAGTTTTCGCAGTTTTATTGCCCATCCCCATCGCCTTTTGATTTTAATTTATGATTCTAGCTGCCTTTGCCATCGCTGTATGAAATATTCTTTGCCACATGCTTCACAGCTCAACTAAAAATTCACTTCTGCATGCCGTGGGCCAATTAAAAAAAAAAAACCTAACTGGCCGAGACTTTAACTTTATGCTGAACAAAGTTGTTGATAGTTGATAATTTTAATTTATTTTTGTTNAAGAATTCTATTTACTAGATTTTTTTAAAATTAATATAAAAAAAAAACAACTTAAGATTATATACTACATTTTTCTTCAGAAATTTGTTTATTTGCATTTGTTAACAAAATAAATTAAATTTGGGTTTAATTACAAAATAATATTTTGCTAATTTAATAAAATAAAATTTTGTTCTTATTATAAATTAATATAAAACTAAATTAATTAATTAAAGAATTATTCTTATTATAAATTAGTATAAAACTAGATTTATTAATTAAAGGATTGTATCTACTAATTTGACGCTAATTGTATTTTTTTTTTAAGTTCATATTTTTAAGAAATGTAATGTATTTTAATAGACAGGATTTCTTTAAATGAAATTGATTTATCCCAATCATTCTACGTTTTACAAGTGTTAAATTCAAATTGCTGCAATTGATGTTTCAATTTACTTAGCAGTCTCAATGTCTTTCCGCTCTGTCTCTCTCTCTCTCTCTCTCTCTCTCTCTCTTTTCCTTCGACTCTCTCTCACGCTCTTTGTCTAAAAACAATGGTAATAAAATTATTGAATCAAATATATTTGAACAACTGCAGCTGCAAGGGACAACCTCCCATATGCATATATATGTATACATATATATATACGTCTCGCAGTGAGGGCCCCGGTACATGCCGAACACATGGTTCGTCCTTGTCGAACGGGGTCTGAGGCTTACTGCTATGCATTTATGTTGTTAACACGTGTTCAGATCGCAGGAGCATAAAGTTAGAGTAGTTTTGAATATTCTCTATGGCTTGGCATATTCCAGCTCTATTGTTATGCAATGTTTTGATAAATTGCTTCCAAACTCGGCACAGCGGGTGCTCCTCGCAAAACGCGAGTGCTTAGCTATATATATGTGTGTGTTTCTGTGTGTTTGTAAGTTTTTTAGGTGTATGCATCTGCACTGGCTTTCGCCTAGAATAACATGCCTGCACGTGCCGCTCTCCTGGCTTGAACCAGCAATTTAGCTCGTTCTTGTTTACATTTTGCGAGTTCTGCATTCTGGCTTAGGCTGTGCAGCCAAACTTTCTTTCACTCACTTTGCAAATTGTTTTTAGCTCAGCCTTGCTGCTGAGCAATTTTTGAAGAATTTGCTATATACAGCTTTATGAATGAAGATGTATGTACATGGCTGAGATTTATGATTAGGCGGATTTCAGATGAGTGGAAGTAAAGTAAAGTAAAGAAGATCTTCTGCCAAAGTGGGTAAACTTGTAATCAAATGAATGTGAATGATATATCAGTTGTTGATATGTAGCAGGATTTTGATCTATTAAAAATATTTTCTGTTAATAAAATATGATATGATACATGATATGATAAGAGAACGTCTCATTATTAAAGTACGGACGTTTTACTCAAGTAAGCAGCGCACTTTTTAGTGCGCTCGACTTGACACTTCACGACGGAGAGAGAGAGAGAGAGAGAGACAGAGAGAGAGAGAGAGAGAAATAAAGAGAGAGAGAGAGAGATATGGGGAACCAAGTGTAGTAGCTCTTGCTGAACGTGATCTGGCATGTTGCTGAGAGCGAATGAGATGGCATTGAGGACTTTTCTTTAAAAATCAAAAATCAATTAATCATATTAGATAAAAAATAAAGTTTGTTGTCGAAAATTGAACAGCAAAAATATATTTCATAATTGATTGTATATAAAAAAAATATTATTTTATATATCTCACAAAATCTGCTCAGATATAAGATTAGTTGAGTCCCCAGTTAATGTAAACCTATCCAAAATGGCTCTCTCTCCCTCTCCCTCTCTCTTTCCCTCTCCCTCACTTTCTCTCTCTCTCTCTCTTTATCTCTCTCTCTCTCCCTCTCTGTCTGTCTGTTCATCCGGCTGAGATGTCTATTCATATGTAAATCAATCCCAGAACTTAGAACAGCATTGGACTTGCCACTCAATTCACATATATATAAAGGAAAGGTGAACTGAGCGGCCTGTTTAGTTCTTACGAGATCTTCCAACTTTCAACTTTGACCACCGATTATTGTAAATAAAAAGTCAAAGTGAGCCAAAGTGGTATCACTCAGTCTCAGCTATTCAACATTAACAAACAACTGGGAAAAAGTCTCTCGGATTCATTTCAATGTGACAAATGCTGTCAGTTGTGCTGTGGCACGGGGACCGCAAAGCCAATGTCCTACGGCTGTGTTTTTCACTTTGCTGGAAAAGCGGGAGAGCATATTTACAAACGATTTTTGTTACGCCCAAATGTGTTTCTATTAAAATACAATCTGCTCGAAGGGCACGGCAGACAGACGAGCTGTGGAGCCTCTATGAGTAAACACTTGAAGCCGCCTTCGTCGTAGGCGGCGCATTTTCGGCTCCGCTGTGCCGACAAGAGCATTAGCCTAATTGGCTTCCGTTTTGCCGTCTAAGCCATCTAAGGCGCGCTCGGCTAATAAAATTGTTTCGGGATTACATGCATACTTAAGATTTTATCTCTCTATCTCTCCCTCTGTCTCTCTCTCACTCATCTTTGGCCTGCTATATTTAACCTTTTGGTTTTTCTTTTTTTGTTCTCGTTTCAGTGCTCCGGCATAAAAGGTAAGCGGCCCACCTGCATTTCAAGCCTTTGAAATGGCGTTTAGTGTGCGTGTGCGTGTGTGTGTGTGGTAGTTAGTGAGTGCCACAGCTCTTCTGATTGTCCTTGCTGTGTGCCGCCCTGCGAAATTGGATTAAATATTTTTTGGTGGCTTAAAAGCCAAGCCAGGCCGTTAACACCTTGACTTGGCTGTTAATTAAGCAGGCCGTTAAGTGATATTATGTGCCGAGGGCCAAGTCCTTTTTGGGAGCTTGATTTGTCAATTTGGTTAATTAGCAGCCGCTCGATAACGCCGCTGTCAGGACATTAACGCCATTAATTAACCGATCTCTTTATGGCCCAGCAATTCGTTCATCAATCGAGAGCGGAGCCCGAGCTCCAGCTCGTTAGTTGATTAACTAATTGAAATTAATCAGACACACTTGGAGTTGCTTTAAAGAACCAGCCGAGAGCCTTAGGGCAACTCTCAGTCGTCCTTAGCGCTAAATCCTCACCTGAAATACCAAATTATGCCATTTGCCTGATGCTCTGAAGACGCAGCCACAACTCAGCTTGAAATCCACGCATGAAATATGACCATAAAGAGCCCTTGCTGATATAATACATGGACATAAAAAGGCGCATTTATAGAAGTACATATACATACATATATATGTATTTGTGTATGAGCAGGTGGCGGGGGGTGAGAACGCGTCAAGGCGCACAGCATAAAATCACATTTATACAGTCAAAGCATTTATGCTCCATTATGCTCTTAACTTTTGCCTGTTGGCTTTTGTTTCCATTTTGGTAGTCGCCATAAAAAACACTCTCAAAAATATGAAAACATCATGAAACCATCAAACTGTCTGCCTCTGTGTGGGCTTTGGCCACATATACGAGTCAGCAGCAAGGTCAAACGCATTCGATTTGGCTCGCCCAGCAGCATATGGCTTTATGGCAACACATATACATACATTCATGCCAAATACCAAATTATGCCAAATAAAACGAATGCTCAGACAACAGAAGAAAAATTGAAGACAGTGAAAGCTTTAAGTGCAATAAACCGAAAAAAACAAAAAACAGAAATGCAAAAAAAATAAATGCAAAAACAAAACCAAACAAATAAAAATATTTGTGGCACATTGGAGTCATGCTTGTGGGTGTCTAACAGCAAAATCGCTGAAATGTTTCTTATAATATGTCATAAAATATCGTAATGGCAGTGCAATAAACTTTTTAAAAGTGCTGCCAAATGTCATCAGGCGGCCATTTGGCCATTTGGTAGCTGCCAAATATAAAAATATCAAAATCAGCAAATATTTGCCAGTTCTGTCAATCAGAATACGAAGTAAATTTATCAAATGTGAACTATTAATATTTTAATTTGTATATTATATTAACAAAGTAATATTAT